TATATATATATATATGCGTACCCATGTATGTAATGCTCATAGAGGCCAGAAGAGGGCACAAGATCCCCTGGAACTGAAGGATGGTTAGCTTCCATGTTGGTACTGGGAAAAGAAAAACAAGGTCCTCTGCAAGAGCAGCCAGTGCTTTTAACTGCTGAGGCATCTCTCCAGTCCAAGATTATTATTACTATTGGTAACGACTTCTAACCTTTAATTTTTTGTCACATTTATTTATGTGTGTGTGTGTGTGTGTGTGTGTGTGTGCGTGTGTGAATGTGTGTGGGCATGAGCATGCTACTGTGTGTGAGTGGAAATCAGAGGACAACTTATAGGAGTCTGTTTTCTCCTTCTACCACTTGTGTCCCTGGGATTGAGCTCAGGCCATTGGGCTTGGTGGCAGGCACCTTTACTTAGTAAGCCATTTCACTGATCCCAAAGACATTTAACTTTTGAGCTACTCTAACCTGATTTGAACTGGAAAATCTTATCACTGTTTTATTCCATAAGAGAGTTTCCATGTTTTGCCTTATCTCCTCCTCCATTGTGTTCCACAGTTTCATTTTTAGGGAGGAGTTCTATGAATTGTCTGTGTTTGTGGCATTCTGAGCCATTTGTGGAGATTGCAGAAAAAAATCTGGATGCAACTTCTTACATGGATGGTAAATCCTCTGACCAAATAGTTCCTCAGTTTCTGCAGACGCTCATAACACGCCTCCAGAACCCCAACAGCAATCTTTTCCCTAAAACAGTACAATGGTTAATATTGTCAATTTGATAGGATTTAGAATCACCATGGAAATAACACCTTTGGGTATGTCTAGGTGGGTGTTTCCAGAGAGGTTTAACTGAGTTGGAAAGACCCACTTTGAATACGGGCAGTACCATTTTATAGGCTAAAGTCCCAGACTGCATATAAAGGGAAAAGCTACTAAGGCATAAATATTCATCACTCTCTGCTTCCTGACTGTGAATACAATGTGACCAGCTGCCTCTTGTTCTTGCTGCCATACCTTTGCTGCCATGATTGACTATATCCCCTGGAACTGTAAATCAAAATAAATCCTTCTTTCCTTAACTTACTTTTATCAAGGATTTTGCCACACCAAAGAGACAAATGACTAACGCAAGCCAGAAACAGAGACGCTGGTTATTTCTAACATTCTCAAACAACTATCTGATGGTCTGACCAGAAAAGATGGATGAAACACTTATAGAACTGACTGGAAAGACAAGACACTCCAGAACTGGAAATCCAAGGCCATTCTATTACTTCACCTATCCCATCCCATCTCATCCCAGCCTAATGCATTCTATGTCATTCATTTTTGTAAAAATCAATGAAAAGTTTATGTTGAATGTATATGGAGACCTTACCCTTGTCCCTCAAGAGCTCACAGTCTAGTGAGAGGTACAGACTATAAGTTAAGGACCACAGGAGGTAAAAACAAAATAAATTGTTATGTGAACGAAGAATAACTCATCTATGTGACCTTGGGCCAGTCCCTTAATCACTCTGTACTTCAGCTTTCTCATCTATAAAATGGTAATTATGGGGCCAGCAATAAGTTAGATGGCAAGCCTGATGACCTAAGTTCAATCTCCAGGACTTATATTGTAGAAAGAGAGCAATAACTCCTGCAAGTAGTTTTATGACCTCCACGGATGCACTGCAGCACATGTGCCAACACCCCTCCCAAATAAAAATAAGTTGAAGAACATTTTAAAAATGGGAATTATGATAGTATTTATCACAGGGTTGTTGTGAAGGTCAAATTAGATAAAGTATGTAGCATGACTTGCATGAGGTAAACTGCTGAGTACAAGGTATCTCTAAGTTTCCATAGAAAGGGAGACATTTTGGATGGACTCATAGAATAGGTAGAGCTCAGTAGGCAAGGAACTAACATCTATTGCATGATTGGTGAAAGAATTCACTCACCTAGATGGTAAGTGGATAAACTCACCAATATTGCTAAAAGGACTTCTATTTGAAGCGCTTTACATTAAATATATACTTGTCTTCCACCTTCCCCAACTTTGATTACAGTATAGGTATGGAGTTTGGTAGTGCTACTATCATCCCCATTTGGCAAAAGAGGAAGCAGAAACCCAGAGAATTTTAAGAACTCATCCCTCTTATAGCACATCAATGGCAATGTCAAGACTAGTTCCCAGACTATTCAATTAACAAGAGCCACGCCTTGTTGCCTTAGTGGCCAGTGTTAACAGAATAGTCTCCTCCAAGTAAGAAGGCCTTATTGCTGCTCCCTAGGGAAAGCAGTCTGCAGGGACGGAGGGTAAAATACTGTTTGACGAAGAGTTCAGTGCTTGCTCTTAAGACCTCTAAAAGGTTTCCAATGAAGAGCTTCATGGATTCAGGGACTGTTCAGACCTTTGGACTTCCACAGTGATCTACCACTATTTGAACAAATAACCAGTTTTCTTTGTTTTGGTCACCCTCTGTTTGTTCAGTAAAAAATAATTAATTACTAGAAATGAGAGTCAGATTGAAGGGGCTTGGGGTGTTTTTTTTAATTTTATAGATACGGTCTCATTTTGTAACCCAGATTGCCTCAAATTGATGTCATTCCTCTTGCCTTAGGTTCCCAGGTGCTGGGATTTTAAGAATGGGCCACCACACCCAGCTGAAGAGGTCTTGAGGACTTATCACCTATTCCTATTCCCATCTACATACCCCAGACACCTAAGATTGAGACTCAGAAGTATTAGCTGTTCAGCAAATATTAACTGGGCATCCATTCTGTGTTTGATCTGTGATTCGGAGGTTGAGAGTTGAGGCAGAATGTGATGCTAAGAACAATGTGATAGAGCCTCAAGGAACCCATGCTATAATTAGTGAATCAGTCTGAAACCCTTTTCCATAATACTGAAATCCACTACTCTCTTAAAACTAGAAGGTTTTTCTGACAACTAGTTTGGTATCAAAGCTTGACCTTGAACTGGTGTGACATTATTTTATAATCTTTACCCACTACATATAAATATTCTTATTTTATGATGGAAATATGAAGGGACTGGATTTTGGGGTTCTTCTAAAAGCCCTTACTGGAATGTTAGAAGGTATATCATGATGTTTTTTTTTTTTTGTAAAATGAAAGTCTAAATCCTGAAGTATATCTGGCCCAAGGGTTCAGGTAAGGAATTGTGGACCTGAATGAGAACATAGTCCAACAGAGAACACATAGAAAGATAGTAGCCTTTTCAAGGAACCATGAGTAGGAGAAATTTATAGTAGAACATTCAAAGATAGTAGATAACACTGTGGAGCCCAATAGCTGGGAAATGTTCCTGTTGTGCCTATAAGTGGAATGGGATGGAGAATTTAGAGAACCAACAGATAGTATATTTAGGAAACAGTGTAAGTGAAAACACCAAGGCAGAAAAGCCCAAAGCATAAACAGGCAATCTTGGAAGAATAGACGTAAGGGGAGGCCAGGCTGAAGGTTTCTTCAGAGAGCTTTGAATGGCATGCTAAGAGGCAGAAGGAAGACAATAGAGGTTAGAAACTTGTATTACAAAAGTTATGTCCACCATGTCAGGATTCAAATCTCATCCTTTAAAATGTTCTTAATAAATTAAGAGTTTATAATTTAGAACAAACATATTTTCAAAAGAGGTGGGAAATATCTCTAAGTAATTTACAGTGAACCCACAAAACCCAACTATCCAGATCTCCTGAGGTTTCCTTAGCACACACATTAATAGTAAAAAATAAACAAACAAACAAACAAACAAACAAACAAAAAACCACTGTTGGGAGCTCAGCTGTTAAGAGCACTTAATGCTTTTGTAGAAGACCCAGATTCGGTTCCCAGAACCCACTTACAACCAGCCATAACTCCTGTTCCAGGGGATCCAATATTCTTGTCTGACCTCTGTGGGCATTGCATGCATGTGTTACATTTACATATATGTAGGTAAAACATTCTTACACATAAAATAATAAACTATAAGATATAAAAAAACATTGTTGGATTCCACATGTCTTTAATTTTTTTTTAACATAGGCTTTACATGTGCAGTCAAAGCTACATCAGCCAGAGAAGGTTGCTGGACTATTGACAGCTCCCTGTTGTCCCTGTCTCCTAATACCCTACTGTCATGCTATGTGATTTTCAGTTAACTGGTCCTCTCCAGGAAATGGAGCAGAAATTCCTGGGTTCTCTGATGAAAGAAAACACAGAGCCCTAACCGTACAACAGCTGAGGAGAGAATGCCAGAATGCAAGGCGTTTCCTACTGATTATGGGGCCAACTCCATCTTGTGGGTTGCTTGGGAAACACATTTAAAGGCTTCATTCTGCTGGAAAGAGGAGATTTAGAGGAAAAGGCTTTTTCAGCTTAGTTCAACAACCAAGCCTCTTGGACTTTTTAGGACTTCAAAGTAGACAGCTCATCAGAACTCTTCTGTAATAGAATATACTTCGAACATTCAAGGACAGTAAAAATGTTAAGCTAATTTGTCTTTATCAGATTTAATTTTCTTAACCTTACATTTCAGTCTACACAGGTTAGCATATCTTTAAAGATGTGTGTGCTTATGTGTCTTAGAATGATGACACTACATCATAGCTCAGGTAGAGTAGATAACATGCTATTATAATTTGCCTCGCTGTATTTTAAATGCCAGCGGTCTCAATAATTAAATGAAATGTATGTCAAGTCTTCTTTTAATCTAATCTAATACCTTCTCCATAATTTATCTGTTTTGAACATTCAATTTCTCATGTATTGTTAACACATTTAATCAGTTTCAAAAATAGCTGCACTCCCAAAAACCTGAAATGTTTTCACAGATCCACACAATGGTAATTTATATTCAAAGTGACCAATTTGACAGTGTAGAATCTTAAAATGCTACATTGTGCTCCTTCTGATTTTACTGCTAAGTGTATTTTATTGTGTTTTAGTTCTCTACTCGGCTGCTGATCCACCTAAATTAGACTTCCCTGGGGTGCTTAGTAAAATGTAGATTTAGCTTGTATTACTTTTTCAGTCAAAGATTAGCTCATGAAAAGAAAATTCGAATTCATAGGGTTCACCAGAATCAGAATCTCTGTGAAGTAGGGAGGAGAGATCTGCATTTTTCACAGGTTCACCACTTCATTCTTACCCATACCTGGATGGAAAAACCACTGGCTTAAGAGGTAACCTCATAATAACCAAACAATTCAATTAGCAAAAGCACTCTATTCCCAGACAAATCTGGATTCTCAGGCATTTATTGTTGCCGAGGTAGGATTCTTAATTGTTTTTGTTATAACATGATTTGACCTATAATCTTAAATGGATTTTTCGACTTTTCAATTTATTATCTTCACTTTCCATAATTAAAACCCATTTTAAAGAAATAATCTACAGGAGTTCAGAGAGCAAATTTGCAAAGGTTTAACGTGTGTGTGTGTGTGTGTGTGTGTGTGTGTGTAGAAGGGGACACACTGTCCTCTCAGGATGGCTCGCCTATTAAAATTTTGTTAGTTTTTAATAAAATACAGAGAAAGAGAGAGAATATGAGCAAGAGATGCCCCCACTGCTTCAACTTCTAGTGCTAACTGAATATAGCTGAACATCAAATGCTTGAATAACAAAGGTCCTGTGTCCTATTCCTTTGTAAATGTATTCCAACCTAGCTTCCCATAGTCAAATACTCTACAGAGAAGGTTCATAGCCACTGTTCATGAATAGGAATTTTGGCTCTTAAATAACATGGAAAATACCTTTCCTTCACCCACAGAGACTCTGGATCTTGGCTTGAGCATTTGCTCTTCAGCTGGAAATATTTCACTAATGCAGCTACCTGAAGCACACAACGTCACACAGACCCTATAAATTGCTTTCCAAGCCACCAAAATGCTCTTTACCCTCTCCTTTCTTCCCCTCCCCTTTGCTTGCTTTTAAAAATAAACCTCAATTCTGCTGACGACTGTTTTTCTTGCCTCACCACAGGAAGTGGACTGGGTGAGTTCTTACATCACATATTTAACAGAGGGCACTGGGCACCAACTGGTGTCTATGGGATACCTGCCCTCAGCTGGGGGGAGCCCTGCCTGACCAAAGCTGCAAAAGAACTTCCCTCAGCAGCTTTCAGCTTGAAGAAGGCTAAGGAGATGCGGCACAGCCCACATCAGGCCCCATGTCAGGTCCAGTCTTTGAAAGCGCTCTTGAAGAGGCAAGCTGTGTGGAACGGAATCCGTGACCTAGGCAACAAGCTCCAAGCTGGTCATTCACAGTGTTATCTAGTCAAAGGCATCATATTTAATCTCTTTTCTTCTCTTTAGAGAAAGAGAGAACCTGAAAAATAAAAAATATATCTGACCCTTCTGTTGTCCTAATTTTAAAAGAAAATAATAATAATCTTTCCTGTTCTCTGGCAATTACAATTCAGGAGCCATTTAGTTGGTATTAAAATATGATTCAACCTCTAGAGGTAGGATTTTGAGTTCAACAACGGTATCCATAAACCTAAAAGAGGGTTTTTTAAAATTGTTTTTTGTTTTTGTTTGGTTTGAGTTTTGTTTGATATAGTGTCCTACTACGTTACCAAAGTACTAAATGAGATTATTCCACTGTTGACAAAATGGATTGCATGCACCACAGGAGAGGGTAAACAATCCATCGGAATATGAAAAGAAACCATCAGAACTCTTGACTCGTATTTATCATTTATCTGAAATAAGAAAATAAGAAGCTATTACTAATATTCAATACATGAACTAAGACTGGCATTCCTTTATCAGTGTCAATGTCAGCAGATGACAAGAGCCATCCTTTGGGAATAGAGCTTGTTCCAAGCAGCAAAGAGTGATGCTAGGACATTTTAGGTAGACCCAGATTATATTATCTAGTTTTAATCAAATTAGGATGAACAAAATGGACAAGAAGTTTGGAAATCTTATTAAGAAATTACAAATTGAAGTTCACCCTAATAATATAAGCACAAGTAAGCAATAAGAAAATGGTACACACTTTTACCTTCTGGATAAACTTTTTGTCAGCCATATTGTGAGAGTCATATTTTTATTGTTTTAAAAAAAAGAACCAATAGCTCTGGTAAGAGCCCAGCTACAAATATCAGCAAATGTCTTGTGGGCCATTTGCAATAAGGATTTACATTTCCTTTAGTGACAAACTTCACACTAAGTACATATCATCCTGTAATATTTTAGTGTTTGTATAAAAAGATTTTTAAATTAAAATTTCATTTCATCAAATGTTTGGATTTCCATTTTACATACATTTTATGAGTATGTACGTGATTTCTAAATTAATAAATGTGCACATGTTAAAATGTCTTCTATGTCTTTTTTCTCATAAGGCTACTTTTTAAAGCAGGGAGTGCTGTTGGCCATATAATGTCGAGCTGCCAGTGTCTTCAGATTCCAGGTAAGATCAGGTGGCCTCTCTCACACATAGGAAAACAGATGCTGAGATAACTTAGCTAAGATTAACACCACTGGTAAGGAGCATCTCCCAAACCAGAAAAACCAAAGTCCCAGAAAATAGGAGTACTTGCTTAGGATCCCAGATCTAGTTAAGGAAGACACTGAGGCTCTTCTGAGTTGAGGTAGGTCCAGGGTTTTTCCTAAGGAGAATTGCCTCTCTATAGATACAAAGAAATTGAAAGAGGAAATCTGAGCAACTGCTAGGAACTCAAACAGAATGGAAAAACCATCACAGTACAGTCACGATCTCTGTAGACAGCAAACTACAGAGACTGACCTATTCTTTCTATACTTACAATAACTCCTGGGTAATAACCTCCCACAGTCACATTCTGGGTCCTGGTGGTTGCAGCGAGGCCCACCGTGAGAATTAACACTGACACAATAAGCAAAGTCACGGTGACATAGATGGAATTTCGCTTCCTCCGATTGAAGGCTCCTGTAAAAAAAGAGAGAATTTGAAATTGCTCATTTCATCTGGGAAAGGGAGAGGCTTAAAGAGAAAATTTACTAGTAAGGCTTTTCTTTCCTCCTCCTACTGGTAATGGGATATCTCTAGGGAGTGGAATTATGGTGAAGGAATTCAGCTTTCTGTTTTGCAGTCATCAGATGCCACTTTTCTAATAAAAATATGCTTCCTCTTTGAAAATAAAAAACAGAAGAAAACTTATCAGTTACATAACAGCAAAACAAATTTTGTGCTTTTGGCATTCTATAAAAGATGTGTCATATCTACTTAATAGAGGGGTTTTAGGCCAAATTATAAAGGAATATGATGAATGGGAAGTATATGTGTGAGGGTATTAAATGAAAATATTTTAAAGCCACCAGGTAACGAAGAAGGGTTTTTTTGATAACTACAGATAATGAAATTTTATTTTCAGTGTAAATATCAGAATGGAGCCAGGTATTGGGATTTCTTTTTTCATTACTTCTGACATTTGCCACTTCATGTATAAACTTTAAAATGGTGTGCTGGCAAGATTTGTCACACAAAAATTATGGGTAATAGTGTAAATGTTTGAAAGCTATTAGTCCACAAAGCTATATATCAGGGGAAGTAGATGGGAAGGATTACAACATACACACATTTACCCTTATGTGATGACAATATAAATACAAATACAAGAAACCCATTCTCCTGCCGAGGATTTATCAGACACCATAGCACAAACCAGTATTTTTTTCAAAGCCAGGCTTATTAAGCCTGATAGAAAAATGGTATCTAGGCTCATTTTTCAATTTAATATTTTTAAAGGAATGAAGCACTGCTCCACACTCTGCAGGCATTTCTTTGGTTCAAGAAGGGGCTCCTCAACACTTACCATGGGAGAGTTACCGCTTAGGCATTCTCCAAAATATGTATCAAATGAACAATGCTATGAGGATCCAGTTCTCTAGTAAAGGTATGGAGGTTGGGGAGCACGAAGCAGCAGGAGGCCTTATGATGGGGTTGCCTACCTATGTGGTTTAGATATCATTTATGGCTCCAAAGAAACCCTTTGGTTCTAACTCTTCATAAGACCCAGTCATTCTGAGAGGCCTCACCACACCCTCGGCAGGCTGTGGGGGAGACAAACTGCCTAGCCTACACTCCTGGGAGGGAGGGGGAAAAGAAAGGAGGAAGGTAGAGGGAGGGGCAAAAACCAGTGGAGAGAGACCCAGGAGGCTCTGTGCAGGTGAGAGCTTGTGGGAAACAGGAGTTGTGGCTGACCTTGCAGCCCCAAGTAGATGTTCCCTTCCATATGGAAGAAAAGTTCCACCCTGGGTTAAACCCACCATCCATCTTGTCTTCCCCAGTGTGATCTCTGCTGAAGGCTCCTGAGGAAGATGGGAGGGGCTGGCGGTCTCCCCTGACGTCATTCTCATTCTTGAGAAAGAGATGTGAGTCATCTGGTACCAGCGTAATACAATATTATTTTAAGGCTATTTTACATCGAAATCTAGAAGCGGTTTGAGCGGGTCCAGGCTTCTGTACGCTAAAGCTCCAATTTCACCTTAGGAGGAGAGGTAAAGAGAGCTGGAAATAAGTCTCTGCAGTGAGACAGGAGACCAGCCCGCCCTGGAAAAAAGGCCCCTAGATACCTGTGATACCAGGGCCCTTTGTATGAGAGTTACTAGAGGTGCAAATGACAACCAGGTAAAATGGTAAACCAATAAATACATGCCTGAAATTTGGACTGCCTGGTTCTGGGATGAGACTAGAAGAGGGGTGACTCTAGGATGAACAGGATTTATTTCTTCTGTTTACCTGCAAGTCTATTATTCTTCCTGTTGATTTCAGAAGCACCCAAAAAAGATTCTAAATAGGGTTCCTAAATCTATTTCTTGATATTTAGTGATGTCTTCAAGTACTTGCACTGTGGGGCACTAACGTAAATTTACAGATGCAACCTCCATTCTTTTCTCCCTTTCCCTTCTGTCACTCTCATACGATCTCTAGTCCTTCCCCACCCCCAAATGCACCAAGGATATCTTACACAGAGAACAGGTAACCTTAGAGACTAAATTGGAGTGGCAATGAATGTCTGCACGGTTTTTCTAATTTGTTGTTTCATTGGCCTGTTCTTTCCTACCAACTGACCTTTAATCTTATCCACAGCTCTTGAGTCTTCTTTGCAAATATCACTCTAACTCTTAAAAGCACAGGAGCCAGGTCAGAAAAGTGACTCAGCAAACCAAATGGTGTCATTTGGAAATCTTTCTTCCCCCTTTGCTTTGAATTGAACCTGAATTGAAAATTCAGTCAGCTGAAAAACCCAAAGATCCTACAGTTCTGCAGGGGTCTTGCTTCCAAATACAATTTGTTTTTGATACAATTGCTGAAACACTTCTAGCATTAGATTGACTATCCATTCTCTGTCTTATGCTCCTTCAGTCAGCCCTTATTTTATATTATAAGGACCATAGCTACATAAAATATTATTTTAATTGCGTGTGGGAAATTGACTAGTTCAAGAGACTCCTGGGTTCTTTCTTTTGAAATGAAGAAACACTCCTCAATTTACTTGTAATTTTAATTTGACTTAATAAGATCCATCTCTACTTGGAGCAAGACATACCTGTAGGTGCTTTGAAGGTGTGGCCAGGGATTCCAAAGGGCAGACCATTGTACCTGCTTAAAGCATATGCCTGGGTGTTGCTTTAGAATGGAGAAAAACCGTGTTCCTATTAGGGTACAATTTGGGGCTTGCCTGTGAACACAGGCCCCTTTATTTAGTTTTTGTTTAATAAATTAACATATAAAAACTCAGGCATGATGAGCTACTTAAAAAAATAGCAGTAAGGACTGGAAAGCAGTACCTTTTGCTTTGTCTGTTATCCAGTAAGTAGTTGGCAGTTGTTGAATAAACAAGGTGCAACACCTCACAATTGTTTCCCTTCTAGTGTAAAAGGCTGTGGGATAAACTGTGTGAATAAGTTTGACTATGTTCATAGAATTAACTTTTTCAAATAGGGTACACTTGAGGGCTCCCCAGAATTGAAAGCCCTCTGGCCAACTAGTGTCACAACCACAATAGCCCTCAATATCCAGTCTATTTGGTGCTGAGTATATTTTTGTTTAAGCAACCACTGCTGCAACCAACAGCAGGGAGAATCAGAAATATCACTGCCATTGCCTGCCCACCCCCAGCAGCCTCCCTTCAGAATTACTGCTGCTGTCCCTCTCTGCAGTGCCCTACCTCCACCCCAGAATCCTGAGGACCATGATGCTTCGCTCCAGGGGTATCCAATTATTTGCTGTCTTCACCCTTCCAGATAGGATTGGCTTGCCCCTCCTCTGGGTTTTCCCTCAAATCAAAGCTCCCATTCTCATTTGAATCTGAATCTCTCTCTTCATTTGACACCTGCTCCAAACTTCCTCCAAGTTCATCTTAATCAGGCTCAGCCTATTCTAATCACTCATTAATTCAGTCTCTACTGTCTTAGACACTTTACTCATAAATATATAAATTGTGACTGCAGGTTCGTTTGCCAACCCATATGATGTCCACCAGTCCCAGGATAGTGGATCTGACGGGAGCTAAGGTTTGGGTTGCTATAAGATAGGATGCTGTCTCTATACACTTAGATTTTACCTTGCACACTTTCCTAAAGGAAGACTTGTAATCTTTATTGGGGTGTAGCAAAGATGGAGGCTCAGTATCTTCTTCTGGACACTGTGTTGTTGACTGGGTAATTCGCAGGCTTGAATTTTTGAATGAGTCAGGATTTGCTTACCTGAGTCAGCTTTGCCGGAATAGAGTGGATCCCAGGAAGTCCCAGCCTTGAGCATCCCTGGAAACAGGTGGCAGCTGCACAAGAGACTCGATGCCCTGCCAGTCTCTCAAATGCTGACCTAAAGGCACTGAAATCCACTACCTTCACCTCTTAATAAATTCTTTGGAGACACCCAAGGTGGCCCATTAAATACAAATGTGTTGTTGGGGTTGGAAAGAATGTCCTGCTGTAGTAGAGGTGCATTAGCGCCTGAGGGCGCTATTGCCAAATCAGAGGAGGGTGTTGCTGGGAGCCAGTGGAGGGGTGCAGGAGTCAAATTACCATCTTCATAATCACCAAGTGCTTGTTCCCTTCCAAGCCCTGGACTAAAGGCTCATCAGGAGGCAGCCAGTAAAAGTAGTGCAGGCACCTTGGTGCAGTGTGTGTGTGTGTGTGTGTGTGTGTGTGTGTGTGTGTGTGTGTTAACATTTTGTTCGCCTGCGGCTGCGTCTTGCCTGTAAAGGGAATCCCCTCAGAAATTATGTCCACGGAGGCTGAAACACTAACCCACCCATCCAGTCTCCCCCTCCCGCAGGCTCAAAAGGGTGGCTTTGCCAGAGCTTCCTTAAGTGAGCATAGCTGCTAAGTGTCTTAGGCGCTGATTCAGGCCTGGGCGTGAGGGATCAGAGCCAGGGAACTCCGGCGAGACTCCCCTGTCCTAAGTGTGGAAACCCCGGGTTATCTCTCTACTCAGGAATCTGCTAGTGGCTTTGGCCTGTGGATTTTTACCAAGGCGTAATGCATGGTGATGGGACCATGTCTATGTGAGATTTATGATTCCCTTCCTGCAGTGCCGAGCCTGGGCTAGGGCTGGGCAAACCCACGCAGTTTCTTGTTGCGCAGACCCCTGGATGAACACAAGACAGTCTGAGGACCCCTGAAGAGTACAAGAAAGAACTCTCTTCGTCTTGTTCTACAACCCACAGAGCGGTGTCAAGTTGCAACTGAGCTCTAGACTTCCAATATGCCTACTCCCTGCAGACATTCGGCTCAGGGTGAAGGTTGGTTTGCAGGTGGTTGTCGCACGCACGCACGCACGCACGCACCCGGACTGGGCGCTGCAGAGCCCTCGCCCTCTTCCACCCAGCTCCTGTTAGTGCTGTACCTTGGCGTCAGTGAGCCTGGGCTGTGTTGGCGCCACAGCTGGCCAAGGTAAGGAGTGCATTCAGTGGGGTGTGTGTGTGTGTGTGTGTGTGTGTGTGTGTATGCGTGGTGTGTGTGTGTCTGTATGTGTGTGTGTCTCTGTGTGTGGAGAGACAGAAACGGAGAGAGAGAGAGAGAGAGAGAGAGAGAGAGAGCACTTTGGAGGGGGTGGTAAGGGAGCGTCTGGTATTGCTGAGCTCTGGATTTGGACCCCAGTCCTTGGCCTCATTTGTAGCCGATTCCGAATAACTAGGACCTTAAAAATGAAAAGCACAGATCTTGTACTGAATATGCAAAAACACTGAAAATAAAAATACTTCTACCATCCAGGTGATAACGCTTTCAAGGACCCACTTACTTGAATGAAATTTGTTGAGACTGTCTTTTACAGGGAGCAGGGAACTCTCACAGGGGATTCAATCTTCTCCCCACCCCCTCCCCTGTAGATGTTCCAGCAAATTCGCCGGAGAAGACTTGAGCAGTCTAGATGGCATAAATTCGGGACAGAGGAGTTTCGCAGAATATAAAGTACGATAGAAAAAGCGAATTGGATTTGGATGAAGTGTATCCAAGGCAAATTTTGAGAATTGGTGGGGTCCTATTTCGATAATCCCCTCCTGCTTTCTTGGGCTCCAAATTAATTTCTCCTCCCAGTGAAAGTATAGGGCTTGGGAAGGTACCTAATAGCTGAAGGGAACTGGTTTTGTTGTTTTTTTTTTTTTTTTTATTTTTTTTTTTTTTTTTTTTTTTTTTTGGTTGTTGTTGTTGTTTGTAACTATCGAAAAGCAGCCTCGAGGGGCAGCCAAGTTGCTGCAAGAAGGTAGCAGTCCCCTAGTTTTCACCAGGAAAGGTGTCGAAAGGTGCCCCTCCCCCTCCTTTCCAGCGAGGAGGAAAAGCGCGAGTTCGGAAGATGCGCGGG